TTACAGTAAAATGGTAAACCACGACTCACGAGCAATTATGCTGAAGTGTTAAGTTTTTATTTTGAAATCTGCATTGTAATTAGATTTTGCATAATATAGTCATAATTTTGAAAATGGGAATCTAGTCAAGAGTTAATCTCACTTAATCTGGGGTCAAATAACGAATAAGCATTGAATTCAAATTGCTTTCCGAGAATTCGATACAGGCGCAAAACTACATAAGGATAAATGGGCTTGATATCAGAAAATTCAGGATGATAAAAATGTAGGTGTATGTCTTATAATTTTTTGACAATCAATTTGCATTCCTAAGAATAATTTAGTCGGTCATAATCTTAATTTTTTATTATAAAAGTTTCACCGATTTGTAAGCTTGATACGCAGAAGTTTAATTTTTTGCTCAGAAAATGTCTCGAGTTTCACAATTTTTACCTTCCCTTCCCTTGCATCAACGTCTATAATCTTATTTTGGTAGTGATTAATGTTGTTTAACAAAGGTGCTTTTTTGGGTCAATGATCGACGAGGGCGCGAGTCATTTGTAGAACGTTGGGTAAAGTTTGGACAATTTTAAACTTCAGATTATCAATATTTAGTAATCAGTAAGACTTTAGAATATGGGTTATTTATACATTAGTCCCCAACATCATCAATAATTCCATGTTACTCCTTCCAATCTTTGAAGTTGCTCATAAGTTCCTCAAATCTTAAGCTTCTTGCAACCGGGTCTCTCAGTGACCAAAATACCCTCCCCTCCTCCTCCATCTGAATCCCTAAATCCCTAAACTAAACTCCAGTTGTAGCCCTTACACACCTGCCTCCGACTACCTTCATTTATTGCTAGTCACCTCCACATACTCTTATAGTATCAACGGTGATCTCCTACCATCACCATCTTAATCAAGTCTAGCAGAGAGAAGAGTACCTTTTCCGAATCTTGTGTAAATTGTGGAGGGGTTCAGAGAGAGAAGGATGCTGCCAAATGGAGTGGTAGATCGCAGTCGATTGAGTAGCGGCTACAATAGAAGCTGGGTTTAGAGATTTAGGGGATTAAAGTAGGAGGAGGAGGAGAGGATACTTTGGTCATTAAGGGACCGAATTGCAAGAACCTTAAGATTTGAGGGGCTCATGAGCAATTTCAAAGATTTAAGGGACTACTAAGGAATTATTAAAGATATGAGGGACTAATACTAAATAGCCCCCAAATTAAAATGAGGTCACTTAAATATTAGCCCACAAACCTTCAATATATTGATATTAGCCCCCCAAATCTTTGAAATTGATCTCAAGCCCCCAAACTCTTTAATATTTTGTATTAGTCCTCCAAATCTTTGAAATTAATCTCAGGCACCCAAATCCTATTAAGCCCCATAATTAAAATCTAGTTGGAATGGAGAAATTACTTTTTATGTGATTTGACAGTTATACCCCTCCTACACAAGCTCAAACATATTAACCACTTTTAACTTATATCTGTTAAGCTCCCCAAATCCATTTAATAAAATCTTACTCAAACTTATTTTTTATTTCATCTTCTCCAATGTCTTTCCTAACAGCTCTCTTCAGCTCTAATCCTAAATTCACATAGGATAGATTCCCATTGAGGAAGACATTGGAGAAGATACTAGAGAACATGAAGTGGAAAACAGGTTTAGGTTAGGGTTTTATTGAATAGATTTGGATGCTTAACAGATATAAGTCAAAGTGGTTAATAGATTTGTGTTTGTGTGAGGGGTGTAACTTACAAATCACAAAAAAGCTAAAATAAATACAAAATCCCCCCCCCCCCCCCTGGGCTTATTTCAACATACTTATACGATTTGGGCCGGGCTGAGATCAATTTCAAAGATTTTGGGGATAATATCAAAATATTGAAGATTTTGGGGAGCCTGAGAACAATTTCAAAGCTTTGGGTGGCCAATACAAAATATTGATGGTGTGGGGGCAAATACGAAGTAACCCACAAGACAACCCATTAATTTTCCATTGAAAACTCATCTTAAGAAATACAACGGTCATTACGAAATCTTTTCCCAATCTTCTTCGTTCTCCTTCCCTCGTGCCGATCAAATTCAAAAAAAAAAATGCACACCGAAACCCTAGGGCACAAAGGGGGTTTTTATAGCCGAACGAGACAGGCTGGCGACAGCTGTCGCCAGCCACGCGAGCATTCAGCTCGACGCGAGGGGTGCGTTCGCTGAGGGTTGCGTTCGCTCGAGGGGTGCGTTCGCTCGAGGGGTGCGTTCGTTCGCCAGGGCTCGAGCCCGCCTCCATCTTCGCCTGCGCTCATCCTGGAGCTCGTCGGAGCTCCTCCGCCGGAGGTTGGTATCCACCCCAACTAACAATCTAACAACTAACAAAATGTATTAAAGTGTTACTTTCTTATAACTTTGGCTAGTAAAATGGTAGTTTCTTACAATTTAGGGTATTAAAGTGCTACTTTTTACAACCTGAAAGATTTAAGTGAAAAGGTGGCGAAGCAATAGGGTATTTAAATGCAATTTTTTACTACTTATTATGATATTAAAGTGCTACTTTTTTATAGCTTAGGGTATCAAAGTGTTATTTTTTACAACTTAAACATTAAAGTGAGAAGGTGGGGGAACAATAGGGTAGTGAAGTGTCATTTAGCCAACTTACACCAAGAATCTAGTTTAGGCTGAAAAGATATCGTGTAATGAGATCGGGTTGGATTGCTTGCTCGGGAATTAGTCTCAGATAGCAATACGGCCTTCTAATTTCGTTATCGAGCAAGTTCTATGTGGTGTTCAAAATCTAACCATGTTTGTGTTTTTTAGTTTGTTCTAAATTAGTTGATACAATTAAAATGTATACTAGCAAATATCTTGATCTAAACCAATCACAATTTAAAAGATAAATTAACATTGAAATTTTACTGAATATTATATTAAAATATTTTCTTTAAAAAGAAGGTAAACATCAAAATGTATCTAAGACAGGTTCAAAAGGATTTTATAATAAACATGAGTTTTTTACCCTTTTTTTTTCCGGATGTAGTTTTAAAATGTGAGACATTTAGAGAAGTTTTACAGTAAAATGGTAAACCACGACTCACGAGCAATTATGCTGAAGTGTTAAGTTTTTATTTTGAAATCTGCATTGTAATTAGATTTTGCATAATATAGTCATAATTTTGAAAATGGGAATCTAGTCAAGAGTTAATCTCACTTAATCTGGGGTCAAATAACGAATAAGCATTGAATTCAAATTGCTTTCCGAGAATTCGATACAGGCGCAAAACTACATAAGGATAAATGGGCTTGATATCAGAAAATTCAGGATGATAAAAATGTAGGTGTATGTCTTATAATTTTTTGACAATCAATTTGCATTCCTAAGAATAATTTAGTCGGTCATAATCTTAATTTTTTATTATAAAAGTTTCACCGATTTGTAAGCTTGATACGCAGAAGTTTAATTTTTTGCTCAGAAAATGTCTCGAGTTTCACAATTTTTACCTTCCCTTCCCTTGCATCAACGTCTATAATCTTATTTTGGTAGTGATTAATGTTGTTTAACAAAGGTGCTTTTTTGGGTCAATGATCGACGAGGGCGCGAGTCATTTGTAGAACGTTGGGTAAAGTTTGGACAATTTTAAACTTCAGATTATCAATATTTAGTAATCAGTAAGACTTTAGAATATGGGTTATTTATACATTAGTCCCCAACATCATCAATAATTCCATGTTACTCCTTCCAATCTTTGAAGTTGCTCATAAGTTCCTCAAATCTTAAGCTTCTTGCAACCGGGTCTCTCAGTGACCAAAATACCCTCCCCTCCTCCTCCATCTGAATCCCTAAATCCCTAAACTAAACTCCAGTTGTAGCCCTTACACACCTGCCTCCGACTACCTTCATTTATTGCTAGTCACCTCCACATACTCTTATAGTATCAACGGTGATCTCCTACCATCACCATCTTAATCAAGTCTAGCAGAGAGAAGAGTACCTTTTCCGAATCTTGTGTAAATTGTGGAGGGGTTCAGAGAGAGAAGGATGCTGCCAAATGGAGTGGTAGATCGCAGTCGATTGAGTAGCGGCTACAATAGAAGCTGGGTTTAGAGATTTAGGGGATTAAAGTAGGAGGAGGAGGAGAGGATACTTTGGTCATTAAGGGACCGAATTGCAAGAACCTTAAGATTTGAGGGGCTCATGAGCAATTTCAAAGATTTAAGGGACTACTAAGGAATTATTAAAGATATGAGGGACTAATACTAAATAGCCCCCAAATTAAAATGAGGTCACTTAAATATTAGCCCACAAACCTTCAATATATTGATATTAGCCCCCCAAATCTTTGAAATTGATCTCAAGCCCCCAAACTCTTTAATATTTTGTATTAGTCCTCCAAATCTTTGAAATTAATCTCAGGCACCCAAATCCTATTAAGCCCCATAATTAAAATCTAGTTGGAATGGAGAAATTACTTTTTATGTGATTTGACAGTTATACCCCTCCTACACAAGCTCAAACATATTAACCACTTTTAACTTATATCTGTTAAGCTCCCCAAATCCATTTAATAAAATCTTACTCAAACTTATTTTTTATTTCATCTTCTCCAATGTCTTTCCTAACAGCTCTCTTCAGCTCTAATCCTAAATTCACATAGGATAGATTCCCATTGAGGAAGACATTGGAGAAGATACTAGAGAACATGAAGTGGATAACTAGTGGGCTTATTTCAACATACTTATACGATTTGGGCCGGGCTGAGATCAATTTCAAAGATTTTGGGGATAATATCAAAATATTGAAGATTTTGGGGAGCCTGAGAACAATTTCAAAGCTTTGGGTGGCCAATACAAAATATTGTAACTAGTGGGCTTATTTCAACATACTTATACGATTTGGGCCGGGCTGAGATCAATTTCAAAGATTTTGGGGATAATATCAAAATATTGAAGATTTTGGGGAGCCTGAGAACAATTTCAAAGCTTTGGGTGGCCAATACAAAATATTGATGGTGTGGGGGCAAATACGAAGTAACCCACAAGACAACCCATTAATTTTCCATTGAAAACTCATCTTAAGAAATACAACGGTCATTACGAAATCTTTTCCCAATCTTCTTCGTTCTCCTTCCCTCGTGCCGATCAAATTCAAAAAAAAAAACATTTGGCTTAAACGCCACCGTCCGTTTCCTTCTCCCTTCCAACAAAATCCTCAAAAGATCCCCTCATTCATTCACACTCACTCCCTCTCTCAAGATTTCAAAAACCCTAACCTCGCCCAGATCGATCTAGGGTTTCGATCAATCTTTTCTTCCTTCTCTTGATCCGATCGCTGAGGAATAGCGGTTTTCTTGAAATTTACCTACCAAAAATGGGGTGTATTCTCGCTTGCTTCCGATTAAAAAGCGACAAGAAGAAGAACAAAGCTCATCTGAAGTCGAGTCCTGTTCCTTCAAAGAGCAAGGTAACTAAATTCCCTTTTATTTGATTTTGATCTTTCCTGAGCTCGTTTTTCTAGGGTTTTGTGATTCATTTGATGACTTGATGGTATTTTTAGGAGCCGCTGCTGTCGAAAGAGTCATCTGTATCTGTGTTCATATCTGAAGGTATAAAAAGTTTCGATCTTCATTAGTAGATCTGGGGATAGTACATCAATATGTGGTAAAGCCTCTTTTTTTTTTGGATATAGGTATGCCATGCGAGCAAGTTGGAGATCTAAATTTTGGGGGTAATATTGGTAAGGATATCTTGGAGAAGGAACTCAGAGATGAGGTAATCTCTTCGCAAACCGTAATTTTGGAAAAAATCGCGAGTTATTCTGTATGTTAGGTTGCAATTCTGGACTTATAGAAGTAGCTTGTAAAGTTTTAGTCGTGATCATGTAATTATGTGTTTGAAGGTAATGCATGTTCATATCCCGTGCCAAGTTTGTTGATCCTCAAGTAAAGTGAGATAATTTATGTCATTAGGCATTGGAAAAGTTGGTCCTAACTTTTGAAGAGCTTAGCATTTTTGACGTCAGCCTCAATCCCATTTTGCCTAATGTTATTCAAGCCTATTTGCTTTAATCCCGTCGAAAAATTGGTGCTTGGTACCTCTCTGGTTAACTAATTATTTTCAAAAAAAATCATAAACCTACTATATAGGTCACCCAATTTCCTCTTACTCTTTTATTGGCCAATATGCTCTTTTTTTGGAATTTTATCGTTATCATTCCATAATAAAATGTGTCCAGATTTCAGAGTCTAACTTATTATATCATGTCTCAATCTGTTATTTGGATTATGTTTGATTCTCCAGCTTTGAGAACCATTTATAATGGTTTCAGCTTTTACTTAAATTGTATTAGGATTTGAATCAAAGTTGTTGGTTTCAAAAGAAACAATCTTATAAAAGGGGACTCTGATATCCTTGTTCTATTGACCATAGGACTGGTTATGGATGGTTGACAAATGAACAGGAGCAAGCTATAAGCTTAAAGTTTGAACTAGCATGCTGATATGTTTGGGTTGGCTTTTTAACACAGTCTACAAAAGATGTACTTGTTAATTAGATATATGTTATCAGGTTTGATTATTTTGGTTGAGTATACAAGGAAATTTATCTCATGATGTTGATATACATTTAACTTACCTGGTCTGAATTTTTAAATGTACATATTAGCAATGCTGGTATCATACAATTCCCATCCGTTTTACCCATTTGTCCGTTATTGGCTAGCTACAGTGCCACACCATGGTTTGGTTCACCAAGAGCATCTATGATGTTGTTGAGGGCATTCTGTACACTCAAAATAACCTACTTGTTTGCGTAATAATTTTTTTTAGGTGAGCATTTATATTGTGTAGTAAATATATTTATGGGAATATCTTAGAAAAACATTGTTCTATAGGAGTATCTTTCTGGTGCTTGGAGTATATATGTACAGATGTCTTGCCACATTATAGACTTGTAGTCCCCACCAGTTTTATGGAATAATAAGGCTTTGAAGCTTAGGTTAACAATATACATTGATTTCTATAAATAAGACTTGCTGCGCGCGATTAAATTTTATATATTTATACCAAACAGGTCAAATTTCTCAAGTCTTGTGGTACGATACTTGAAACCCCTCCAGAACTCCGGATGGAATCTGAGAAATTAATCACCAAAAAAGATATCACATCTTCCGAATCTTCTTCATGTGTTCCCGGTAGGCTCTGTAAGGAACTAGTCTGCGATGAACAACAGGATGATTCAAACTTTACACACGACAGTTATGCAGAGTAAGAAACTTACTCTCATCTAATCCTGTTTCTTTCCATATTAAGTTGTTGAAATGCCTTAATTTTATCCTCTTATAGCTTCACCTTCGGGGAACATCAAGCTCATAGTCAGAATGGCAATTCTATATCTGTCGATACTCTGAGAAACTCTGTGTACTTGGATGTGGGGCCAGAATCTGCTGTCTTGGATGCATCTTCAGGGAAAGGTGAGACCCACATTGAGCCACATGGTACTAAGGATTCCGTCTGCTTTGGAAGCATTGAGCTTGATCCTAAGGTTGAATCAGTTGTGGAGTCTGCTGTGTCGGATGTCTCCCCATCTCAAGAGGTGACCCAACTCCAAGTACTCAGTCATCAAGGTGTTCGCTTGGAAAGTGATGAAAACGATCCTGGGACTGAATCAGAAGTGTCTTCTCTTGTGCTGGACATCTCTCCATCTCAAGATGTCACCCAAGTCCAACCACTTAGCTCCAAGCGTTCACCTTATCCAACTCCACTAAAGTTAACAGATGAAATGGAGACTCCTGGTACAATTTATCAAGCTAGTACCCAAAACTTGAGAAGGAAAAATGGTAGAGTCAGAACACAGTATGTCTACCCAGTTCTAAACCCTGTGGAGAACCTAAGGCAGCCGACAGTACCAAGTGAAGCTTATAAGCAGCTCAGCAGATCAGAGAATGATAAGAGAAGTCCAAACAGGGAGGAGTTTGATAAAGAGAACCATGGTTCGGTTAAGAGACTGAGAAGCTTGACTCCAACTTCAGATACAAGATGGAAAGCAACGCGGAGCCCAGTGACTGAAGAGGTTACGGCTTCAAGTTTATCTCAATGGTTGCATATTCAATTAGAAGATGATGAGAAAAAGGAAACTGAAGCTAGTGCAATGAAGAATTTGTTCCCAGACCGAACTCCTGAAGTGGACAGGCCAATACTTGGGGCAGTTGCTATGCATTGGAATGACGAGGAGGACACATCAAAACTCGCGCCAAAATGGTGGGATGGTAATGGCATTCCAAATACAACAACCAAGTACAAGGAGGTATATGTTCTACATTCTTCGCTTGCTTTGTGTATTTAAAGAAATGGACATGATACATACAAGTATTTTGTATGTAGCAGGATCAAAAGGTTAGCTGGCATGCAACGCCTTTTGAGGAGAGGTTAGACAAGGCTTTGTCCGAAGATAAGCTCTTCCCTCATAGGTTAGTATGTCTCTGATTTTGTGCTTGCTCTTACTTTCAAAATTTACTTGCTTCGCTTATTTTGTCGTGATCTTTGTATATATGGACCAACTTCCTCCTGTTGTCTGCCTTGCGTTCATAGTGCCCTCTTTTACACGAGACCAAAATTATATTAGCATGAGATACATCTTGCTCTTAGATGTTCTATTAGGTTTTGTGAACATATAAGGTTTTTTGACGTGTAGTTTTGTGAATGCAGGAAAGAAATCAGAAGAAATCTCGTTGGATTTAATGACGAAGATGAAGAAAATGATACAAAATCATTGTAAGAAGGTTCCTGGAGTTGATTCCTTGGGGGAATAATATGCGTAGCTAATTAGCCAACGAATTTGCTGGCTATCAGTTCCTGGTACCATATTGTTATTATACTAGTTTTAGATTTTGAGGGTGTATTTTAGACCTATGAGGTAGTGCTCAGGTGCTAGCAGGAAACTTCCCTTATAATGGTCATATGCTACTTTGATCAATGTTTTAATTTTCTCACTTTTAGTATCAGAATTTCTTCAAGTTCAACTGCATGAGATTGATTTTTCACCTCAGGTGTGCGACGTCTAATTTTATGCTATAACTAATGGTTTGTATTTTTCATTATAAGACGTTTTTTTTTTCTGTAGGATGAATTGTCCCAAGAATTTTTGGACAAAGACTTCGTTATTAGAAGAGATGAAATGCCCAGGGAATATTTGGAATTGTTGAGGAATACCAAAAAATATCTTTTCTATCCATGGATTTCTTATTGGCATATACAGAAGCTATATAATCAAATCGAAGAAATGTGAAATTTTATAGCTAGCAAGTAGCAATTTGTGTCATATGTTCATTTGCAACATAATGATTCAAGCTTACGCATTCTTGTATATGCACCGAAAAGCAATAACTTATTTGCTGAAATCTCGTAGCCCATGTTGCGAAATACATCCAGCCAAATTCTTGTGCGCCAAACACAAAATTCTGATGGAATCATACTCCAAAGTCTATTCTAAAAGTATGAATTCAAATAGGGAAAATTATTTCCAATGTATCGTCTTGGATAATCATCTAAGGACGCGACCTAAAATCACATGATTGAGTTACATTGTGAATGATCCGTTCCGTTGAACTTGATCTATATATTCTAAAACTCCAACACATCAAGTTTAGGGTGAACCCGTCGTCGTTTGGCCATCCGTCGAGCCATGTGAAAAGTTCTATTCATTCGAAACCGTTAAAATTGATATGAGTGGATGAAGGGTCAAACGACGACGGGTTCACCCAAAACTTGGTGTGTTGAGGTTTTAGAATATGTAGATCAAGTTCAACAGAGCATATCATCCATAATATAGCTCAATCATATAATTTTAGACCACGTCCTTAGATGATTATCTAAGGACGTGACTTTATCGGAAAGTAACTTAGTAATCATTAGAGGGGAGTATTGGACACGTGGTGTTCCAGGGGTTAGAGCTTTTGAATCAACGTATTTGAATCAACGTAAAATATAAGAAGTTTTAGAGTAAATATATTAATCCGAAAATTTTCCTCTTTTTGGGCCCAATGAGCAAGCAATGGGCACTCCATGGGGATGTTCTCCCAATTCTAGTTCCTAGGTTCTCTGTTAACATTACTTGTTTACGGTTTTTTTTAATGAATGCTCATCAACACTCTTTAGTGGGGGTGCATTCGGTCCGGATACGGCTCGGATATGATGTTTATCATATGCATATTCGCTTACTCATCTCGGATACAGATACGATACAGATACAGATACAGATATATCTCGATAAGAAAAATTTATAACCATCTCTGCTAAAATCGGATACGGTTACGGATATACATGCGTATATATAAGCGGATATGCATGCAGATACAAAACAGATATGAGAAAACTAGATAGTATTGAGAAAAACATAATTCATGTGATACAAAATAGTTTGTTAATATGACCATTATAATTGAAAAGTTAAGATTAGACATCTTGATCGTCAAAATTAACCACAAATTCATAAGCTAAGAATCGAAACTATCGTAAGAGTATGACTAATATGTATTCGGATATTTCGGATATGGATACGGATATTTCACTATAAAACCATATCCATAACCATATCCTATCGGTTATAGATTTGAGTAACCATATTCGTATCCTAACGGATACGGTTACGGATATTTTCTCGGATACGAATACGGTTTAGCACCCCTACTCTTTAGGAGATGAGAGAGAAAAAAAAATAATTGGTTCCCTTAGTTCGTACTAATTTCTTTCTCTATCTTTCTTATCCTATAATGAGTATCAATTGGCACCTGTTAGAAACCTTTTTCATTTATTTGCCAGAGAATAGCTGGGTCTAATTATTAGGCATTAACTTTGGTTGCTAAACAACATCAAATTGTGCAATTTTACACAATTCAGAAAGTTAATTGTGGAAAAACCACGTGTGCAATTAACGTTGATAATTTCTAAAGAGGCGGATCTGCAATTAACGTTTCACGGAGACACAGGCTTGTAGTCATTTACAAGAAAAACTTCATTTTTTTAAAAATTACTGCATAATAAGCAATCTTTTTCAGAAAGAACAAATTTTTAAAATAAACCCATTCAAAATTTTAATCCCAAAAATTGACCCACTTTAAACTTTATAACAAAAATCGACTCACTTTCTCGCCACGTCAGATTCGTGACCAAAAAGTGGGTTGTTTTAATAAAAATCGTGGTTCTAATCAGTCGGGGTTGCCAACCCCGACTAATTAGGACCTTGCCCGCATCCCTCTCGTTGTTAGAGAGCTAAACAAGTCGGGGTTCGGAACCCCGACTAATTTGGTGATTGTATAAAATGGTCGGGGTTAGAAATCCCGACCATTTCGTAGCGCCTAAATCGAAATGGTCGGGGTTCCCAACCCTGAGCATTTAGAAGAGACTTATATGGGGGAGGGACTAAGTCATGAAATAGTCGGGGTTGCCAACTCCGACTATTTCTTGTGGTCCCCTCCCCCTTATATATACTGACCAAACCATATCCTCCCCCAAATCGTGATTTTCCTCCTCTCCAACTCCGGTCTCTCTCGTTCAGCCGCCTTCCCACTTCTCCCAACTCCATTTTATGGCCGAAATTCGTTGTGAAAGTTTGCTTAAGATCTCTAGGGTAATTTCTCTTCATTCTCTCCTCTTTTAACATGTAAAAAGTCTAGGATTTTCTATCAAAATCCAATTTCTAGGGTTTGAAATTTATTATCAATCACTATATTTGTGGTGGTTTGAATGCTTTGTGTGTTGATTGTTGTAATTAAAATTAAACTTCAAGGGCATAGAATACTCAATTCTAGTGTTTAGGATTTTTTATTTTGGGGTTTAGGGTTTTTGGTCAAAATTATATGAGATTATTTGCATAATGGGTTTTTCTCTCTTATTCAATGCACTCATAAACTATTTTTAATTTTTTGCATTTAAATGATATAATCTTCTTTTGCATAGGTTGAACAATATGATTTTTATTGCTTGCTCTTATAGTGGGAAAATTAATTATCAAATGAATAATATGCTAATATACGTCGGACGGTCGGAGGGGTAACGACGTCGTTAATGATCTCGGAATCATATAGTTACTGTGACTTGATTAAGGAATTACACCGAGTTACGGGAATTGACCCACGAGAATACCGACTAAAAATAATATGCAATTGGTCCATAACTTTTGATAGAACGTCCGCAGTTGAGATCTCAAACGATCATCATATGAGTATTATGTTTAATTTAAGCAAGTCGCAACCAACAATAGAATTGTTTATTAAAAAGTTATCATATAGTTCGTGCCAAACATTCAAACCTTCAGGAGAATTCTCACGCATGCTAGATTTGGAAGTTGAGTCTGATGGTTTTTTTTCTTCTTCGAGTGAAATAGAGCGGACTCAATTTTAATATCTAAATGCACCTTCATTCGGGGAAATGTCGAATGTCATGAACAATGACGTCCCTTATGAAAATATGAGGCCGTTAAGAGGGGCAACAATTGAAGAGGATGAAAGAAGCAAGAGGGGCAACAATTGAAGAGGATGAAAAAAGCAACAACTCTGAATGTAAAGAACAAGATAGTGCACCACTTGATAACATGCAATTTGTGACTGAAGATGTTGAAGAGAATCTGGATTGGACTGATGAGGCTTATGCTAATAATGAATATGTTGAGTACGAAGAACCACCCCCGATGAGTTTGAAGATGATGAGTGGATTCGTTCTTCCACGGTACAAGATAAGTGCATTGGCCAAAATTCAACTCATAGAAGAGATGATGACCATCATCCCTTTCAGAGTTGGAGATTTATTCGAAACTAAGGATCAATTGGTTGATGTTATTCGTGATTACTCAATCAAAAAGAATGTCAAATTCAAACAAGCTAAAAGCAATCTCACAAGTTATGATGCAATCTGTTTTATGAATATACAAAGGAAAGGTTAGGCCGAGAGAAATAAAGCTGATTACGCATGTCCTTGAAAGTTATATACATTTACCAGAAATAAACATAATGAGTATTTTAGGACCAAAGAATACTGTGGTGTTCACACATGTAGCAATCTGATATTAGAACAAGATCACAGTGGTGCATCTGCCTCTTACATAGCGCAGTTGATTATGCCAAAACTAAAGAAGAAGCTTGAACTAACTCCGGGTAATATAATTGAGAGAGTTCTTGATACGAAGTTCATTGAAATATCATATAGTAAAGCATGGAATGCAAGGAGAATTGCGATGACAAAAATATTTGGTGATTGAGAGAAGTCTTATGTGACACTTCCTTAATATCTTAAGGCGGTCAAAAGAAGCAATTCTGCATCTGAATACAAACTTATAACCAAAAAGATCAATCCGGGAGTTCATCAATTCACTTCTGTATTTTGGGCATTTGGTCCTTCGATCGAGGGATTTAAATTTTGTCGGCCGGTTCTTAGCATTGATGACACACACTTATATGGTAAATATAAGGGTGTATTGCTTGTTGCCTGTACAGGTGTAGATGTAGATAGTGGCTTATTTCCTTTGGCATTCGCAGTTTTGGAGGTCGAGAACAGTGAAAATTAAAAGTTATTTTTTTCTACATTCAATTATATATTTCTAATATGTTGCCTCCTAGGAAAATTATTTTTATATCTGATAGGATGAAATGTATCCCTAAAGCATTATACAAGAGATTTGGCTCTTATCACCATCACCACTATTGCTTAAGACATATTAGAGCTAATTTTAAAAAGAGCTTTGGTCAGATACATTTACAAAACCTTCTTTGACTAGTGGCTTGTACACCGAAAACATATGTGTATGATCGAATACATGATCAAATCAAGGTAACATCTCAAGCTGCACATGACTGGATTAAGAGTAGTTTGGGAAGTGAATATGTTGATCGGTGGGCACTAAGTAAAGATAGAGGGAATCGATTTTGCATGATGACAACAAATTATTCTGAAAGCTTCAACGGGGTACTTAAGGGGGCTTGAGCAATTCTCACACAGGCGTTGGTTGCAAGGACATTTTATAGACTCAATCACTCTTTGTCAAGTGGCGAGAGGATGAAGCAATTTGGGGGACGTTCTTGACACCAAAAAATGAAGAGATTGTAGGGTCTCGTGTCACGCAAGCGAGACCAATGAAGATTGTTAGATTTTCTATAGATGAATGACAGGTTACAGACAAACACGATCATAATTACACCGTTAATTTATGAAGGACATAATGCGCATGCACTTGTAACATACCATAATTGCAAAAACTGTAATGTTCACATTTTATAGCGGTTACGTCCAAGCAATTTGGGGGTGCAAATACTTTGTATTATGCATATGCTTCTGAGTGGTCAATCTAGCCACTATAGAGATTCATACAAGTAGTGTTTCCATCCCATTGTAGATAGTCGTTCCTGGCCACCCTATAATAGGCCACATGTGTTATCTCCTGAATATAAAAAACAAGACGAACGTCCGCGATCAGTGTGCATAAAAGGTACAATGGATGAAGGATGGGAAGGAGCTCCAAAGAAAAATAGGTGTGGATATTGCAGACAACCGGACCATAATAGATCTCATTGTCCTACCAATCTAAATAGATAGCAATTAATGGGTATAATTTGTTTAATTTATAAAAAAAAAATTCTATTTTCTTTGTAAGTTAATGCGTATATATAATTTTTGTAATTTACTTCTAATTCTAATTTATCATACGTCATAATACTGACACATTTTATCTTCATATGTGTAGATATTTGCAGTATGGAGGCAGGTCTATTGACATATGAGGTCCTTTATGACCAAGATCAACACCAATCCATGAATATAGACTCTGAGGAGGTAAATTACATTTTAATTATTTTCAATCGTTTCAAATTTTCAATATTCTTACTATTACTGAACATTTACGCTGTTTAAGATACGCAAGCCCCGAGTATTACCATTGTTGATCATACTCGTGCACATTCAAGTTGGGATTTGACGAATCCATAGGTCCAATATTATGTTCGTCAAGCAGACTTTTTTGAATGTTCACAAATAAAATGGGTCAGACTTGATTGGTCTCTCTTGATGACATTGATTGAACGATGGAGGCCCGAGACAAATACATTTCACATGTGTTAAGGAGAGTCGACGATTACTCTGCAGGATGTTAGGGTTTTACTTGGCCTCAAAGTGGATGGAGATGTTGTTACGGGTACCAATGACTTCAACTGGATAGGAGTGTGTGAATGATTGCTGTGTCAAGCTCCTACTATGAAGGGTGGTAAGATCAAACTCGAGTGGTTACGAAATAATTATATGAATGTACCGATCGATGCCATTGATGAGATCGTCAAGAGCTATGCCCGTATGTATATACCCCATATGATCGATACTATTCTATTTCTGGATTCCATTAAGGATTCGGCGCATGTGAGATGGTTGCCACTTCTAGAGGATCTTGAGGAGTGTGGAGAGTTATCCTGGAGGAGTGCAGTGTTAGCTTATCTATATAGGGAGATGACAAAAATGGTACTTGTGCAAAATAAAGAATTCAATGGTTGCCTCACTTTGTTGCAAATATGGTCATGAGAGCGATTGCATTTGGGAACACCAGATTTGAGGGAGACCCGTGCTCTCGATGGCTAGATTCCGTTAGGATGCAGGTATATTAGTTTGTAATAGATATGATTAATTATAATTTTATATATTTATTTTAATTTATACTAACCCTTTGTATATCAAATAAATGGAATGTTTTCAGATCTTGGCAAACCTCCCCAAAGGGTCATAAAAACGTTTACAGGAACGAGCTTGATCAAATGGATGATGAACATGTATAAAATCATAATATCTAAATATATTCAATCAATACATTATTTGTTACTGATATGTAAATTTACATAATCTTCTTTATAGGTCAAATGGATGCCCTATGAATTGGTTTTAGCTTCACTACCAGGTATTTGTAGAGAAGGCAAAGATATATGGCGTGCTCGAGTACCGATTATATGTTTTGAGATTGTCGAAATGCAGGTGTCGGATCGTGTGCTTTGACAATTTGGATTAAAACAACATATTCCAGATCTTATAGAAAGAATAGAGCGAAATCCCCGAAAAGGAGCATATCATGCAAATTGAGAGATAATTCGTCATGTTTACATTGAGAATTAGGAGTTGAGGGGGGATACTGTAGTGATGGAGAGGGCTGACGCACCTGACCTAAATGTATACTTACGGTGGTATTGGGGGATTACTCGCCAATGGATATTTAGGAGAACAAAGTGTCTAAGAAGTACATACCAAGAGGTCCATTTGAGAGAGAGTTGGTAAGTGTATAGGTAAAATATACAATTATTTTATGATTATTATTTTATTATCATCCACTTGCTAATAATCCTCATTTGCTTTTTATCTTTTAGGTACAAGAACTCGATGATATTGCTTCTATTGCACATGATGCATTGAGAACGACTACTGAGCCAGGGGTGAGGAACGTGTTCCTTCGCATCATAGTAAAGATTCAGTCTGCTCTTAGGAGGACGCGTAATACGAAACATGATGGACGTGAGCACCGACTCATAGTGTACGAGCATCGACGAGTCCGAGGACACACGAGAGCAGGCTCAAGTCATGCACATGATGAAGCTGGAGGCTCACAACAAGCTCAAGCTGGATGTTCACAGTAAGTTTAAGTCGACGAGGATGTCATGCGCTCACAGGTTCACACACAACCGGACGTTGAGATCATCCGAGCTCATGTTGAAGGTGAACGGGGAAGGGGGAGAGGAAGAAGAGGCAGAGGGAGAGGGAAGAGAGTTCTAAATATTTGTTAAATTTCGATATACTTCATACGATGTTTATGTTTGAAACGCTATGATGTTTATGTTTGAAATGCTACTATGACTTGATTATGGTTGGATTTTTAGTAAGTGAATTGAATGTTACATTTTTGTTAAAGATATATTATAGATGCAATAATTATTTGTGTTTGAAATTGATTATGGATTGATAAATGTGTATCAAGAGATGGTGTTAAACTTGTGGATTGATATTTGTTAGCGGGAGATGAGATTTTCCAGCAAAGTATGGGTTGGAGGGTCTCTGCCAAATGGTCGAGGTTCCTAGGGCTGAGCATGGTTCGGTCCAAACCGAAAAAACCGACCGAACCGGCCCGAACCGACCCGAAAAAATTGGTTTTATGAGTAGGAAGGTTCACAACCGGACGTTGAGATCATCCGAGCTCATGTTGAAGGTGAACGGGGAAGGGGGAGAGGAAGAAGAGGCAGAGGGAGAGGGAAGAGAGTTCTAAATATTTGTTAAATTTCGATATACTTCATACGATGTTTATGTTTGAAACGCTATGATGTTTATGTTTGAAATGCTACTATGACTTGATTATGGTTGGATTTTTAGTAAGTGAATTGAATGTTACATTTTTGTTAAAGATATATTATAGATGCAATAATTATTTGTGTTTGAAATTGATTATGGATTGATAAATGTGTATCAAGAGATGGTGTTAAACTTGTGGATTGATATTTGTTAGCGGGAGATGAGATTTTCCAGCAAAGTATGGGTTGGAGGGTCTCTGCCAAATGGTCGAGGTTCCTAGGGCTGAGCATGGTTCGGTCCAAACCGAAAAAACCGACCGAACCGGCCCGAACCGACCCGAAAAAATTGGTTTTATGAGTAGGAAGGTTCGGGTCGGTTTGAAAACTTTTCAACCCGAACCGACCTGAACCGACCGAATATAGTGCAATACTACTCATTCTGATCTCAAACCCTACCCGAACGACCCGTCCCCAAAGAGTCAAAGACTCAAACCCTAAACTCATTTTCTGAATCATTATGTGTTAAAAACAATATCATTATATCAGTGTTTAATGCTTCATAATCTCCTACTTTGTTGATATCTTTTTTTTCTTTAACACAGTTTGTTGTTTGATAAGAAGTTTGATGAAGTTAGAACTAAACAAACCGAACCGAACCGCACCGAACCGACTTACAACAGTTCGGTTCGGTTTTGAATTATAGACGGTTCGGTTCGGTTGTTCAAATTTTGTTAAAAACCGAACCGAACCGACCGTTGCACACCCCTAGAGGTTCCCAACTTCAACCATTTTTTTGTGGGTTGTCAACTCTCTGCTAAATGGTCGGGGTTGGGAACCCCGACCATTTCGAGTTAAGGTGTTTCGAAATATTCGGGAACGTCGAGGTTTCCAACCCCGATCATTTTGTGTAATATTTACTCTCAACTAATCGCGAGAGGGCTGGGCGGATGTCCTAATTAGTCGGGGTTGGCATCATGATTTTTTTAAAACGACCTACTTTCTGGCTACGAAGCTAACATGGTGAGAAAGTGGGTCGATTTTGGTAAAAAGGTTTGGAGTGAGTCGATTTTTGGGATTAAAAGTTGAAATGAGTTTATTTTGAAAATTTGTTCTTTTTAGAAAAATTATCAAATCAAATAATAATAAGATAAAGACCAAACGTTCACTTCGCTTGCCCTCACTCAAACAAATAATACCTCGCATTCGCAATTCAAAATTTCAGACTCCTCTCTTCTTCATCCCCACCCCCCCCCCCCCCCCCTCTCTCTCTCTCTCTCTCTCTCTCTCTCTCTCTCTCTCTCTCTCCCGCGTTAGGGCTTGCGTCATCACCTCGATGTCCAAATCCGCCATCCATCTAAACGTCGATTCAGGCCCCAAGCAGGGCGAAACCCTAGATCGCAAGCCCGGAACCCTAATCCGCATCGGCCGAGTTGTTAAGGGCAACACATTGGCGATAAAAGAATCGTCCATCTCCCAAAAGCACCTCACCATCGAATTCGATGCCCAAATCTGCCGATGGGTCGTCAGAGATCTAGACACCTCCAATGGCACCTTCGTCAATGGAGATCGGGTGCCGTCCTCCGCCGCCGTCCAACTTTCTGACGGTGACACTGTCAAGATCGGTGAGTGTACCTCTATCTCCGTTAAGATTTCAGTTATTAAGGAGAATTTGGGTGGGGTTAAGAGAAATAGCGGGAAGAGAGGGAGGAGTAGATCGACGAAAGAGGATGGTGATTGTGAAGAGATTGGGGATCGAAATTGTGAGAGGGTTTCGACGAAATACGAGATTTTAGATAGATCTGAGGAGGTTTCAGAGAATTTGAAGAGAGGGAGAAAACAAAATACTAAGAGGGATTTGAGTAAAGATGAGATTTTAGCTTCAGCATTGGATGATGTAGTTGAGGCAAAGAATTTGGCGAGGGTGAGGAGAAGAAATCCTGTTAGGGTTTTGAAGGAAGACAATGTTATAGGTACCACTATTGTTGATAAGATTGAGGTGCATGAAAATTTGAGGAGATCAAACAAAGCTGAAGAAGTTGAAGAAATCAGGAAACAAAACAAAGCTGAAAAAGTTGAAGAAATCAGGAAACAAAATTGTGAAAGCATGAAAGATGATAATTTGGATTCAGTTGTTGAGGATGGAGCTAAAGAGGTCCTGATGAATTTAGGGAAGGGGAAGAAGCAAAACCCTATTAGAGCTTCGAAGAAAGATAGGGTTTTGGAGTCAGCTTCTGATGAAAGAATTGAGGTGGTTCAGAATTCGGGGAGAATAGAAGGGATTTCAAACAAATATGAAGTTACAGAAATGGTTGTGGAGGAGAGATTTAAGGCCCCAGGGAATTTGGGGAGAGCAAGAAGAGGGAGAACAGTTAAATTTCCAATGGCAGATGTTGTTGAGGATAGTATTAATGTGCCAAAGAATCGAGGAAGAGGGAGAAGGGCCACTTCAGCTCAAATTTTAGAGAAAGATCCAAGTTTGGATTTAGATGTAGTAGATAAAACTGAGCAGCCCAAGGACCTGCACAAGCAAAGGGGGCGAAATTCTTCTAGTGTTTCCATTGACAGTGAGAATTTGGAACCAGTTGTAGAGAGCAGTATTAAAGCCCCAGTGGAACTTTTAGTTTCCAAGAAAGACGGGGTTCTGGAGGACAATGCTGAAGTACCAAAAACCATGGTTGGACGAAGAAAGACCAGGTCTACTAAGGTTTCAGTGAAGGATGACATTTCAAATTTGATTGTTGACGATAATATTCGAGCACTGAAGAATGTGGGTAGACGTAAAAATACTAGCTCTTCTACGGTTTCAACCTTAGACGAGACTTTGCACTCAGTTGTGGAAGATATAACTGAGGTGCCAAAGAAATTGAGGAGGGGAAAAAGGAAGGCTAATTTGAAGGTTTTAAATATAGATGAGACATCTGAGGCAGTGATGCAGGCTGCAGATGAAGAGGCGAAGAATGTTGGTAGAGCAAAACCAAATAATGTGAGTAGAGGTAGAAGTACTAGCTCTTCTGGGGTTGCAACCTTAGATGAGATTTTGAACGCAATTGCGGAGGATGTTTCTGAAGTACCAAAGAATTTGGGGAGGGGAAAAAAGAGAGCTAATTCTAAAGTTTCAAAATTAGATGACATATCTGAAGTAGTTGTGCATGATGCAGTTGAAGAGGTGAAGAATGTTGGTAGAGGAAAGTCAGGAAAGGCTCCAGCTCGAATTACTAGAACCTCTTCTAGGGTTTCTACAGATGAAAAAGTTCTCCAACCTGCTCAGGACCCAGTTTTAAGTACTATAGATAAATTGCATCAGTCAAAGGACCTAAGAGGAGGTTCCCATCAGCTTACTGAGGCAGACAAGATACAACTCAATTCAAATGATAAAAAAAGCAAAAATGGGGAAGATAAAGAGAACTATGTTTCAGTCAAGTGCCCGAAAACTGAGAGTCGCCGGGACTTGCTTAAGGTGTGGAATGGAAATGGTATTCCGAATACAACTACCAAATATATGGAGGTACTTTTCACTGATCTTCTGGATTCGTTTACATCTTTACATTGTTATATTTATGCATGAAGATTATATAAGGCCATAAATTTAACTTCTAATTCATTATATTCAGGACAAAAAGGTTAGTTGGCATGCCACTCCTTTTGAAGAGAGACTGGAGAAGGCCTTGTCAGATGATAAGCTTTATCCCCAAAGGTAGGTTAGTTTTTCTATATGTAAATCTGCTGCATTATGAAATTTTAGCAATTTCTATTTCCTATATTGTTTGTTGGTTTGAGAAGCCTAACATGGAAAAAATAGGTCCCCTATGTTTATCTCCTCAAACTTCACTACTATGCATACAAAGTTTAGCGATACCATTTATATTTGGTGGGCATGATAGTAATATATTTAACCACAATGTGCGTCGATCACCATGCTTATGGATTGTGATGACACTTAATCTTTAGTTTCTTCATTCGACACTCTTGGATAGTAGCTAGCTTTTCCCCCCTCCTTAGGGTCATGATGTCAACCTGTTTATTTGCATTCCAGGAATCTTACTAATTGACAACTAGTTGGGTTGACAACTAGTTGGGTGTAACGATAAAGGCAGTGATAGTGAGCGGTGCCCTGAGAAGCTCTCTGGACTTTTTGGCTGGTCAGATATAACTTCATTGTGTTCTTTTCTGATACTTGCTGACTGGGAATCATCTGAACCTTATTTCTGTTCTTTCTTTTCTTTTTCTTTCTTTTTCGTTCAAGAATTTGTTTGAGATTCCTCAAGTGTTAGTGATAGTTCGAAGAACAACTGTACCTCATTAAGATGCAAGGTAGCCACTTCAGTTGCACATCAAAATCTCTTTATATCATGATCAATTTTGTTGTAATACAATGTAGAAATTGTCCTTTGCTCCTCCATCGATTAGTAGGGCTTGAACAATGATAAAGGACAGAGGTTTTGTCTAGGTACTAAATGTGTATCTTGTTGATAACTCTTTTCTCAGCTTAAATTGTTTTATTGCAGCAACATGCGGCTACTGCTCTCTGTTTAATATTTTAGCTGAAAACATTCCCTTTGTTTCAGGTGGAAATCCATTGTTCTTATTTGACCTTACTTGGTAGTAATTTACTGGAGCACCTGTTAAATTAAACAAAAACGAAGAAAGTTCAGCAGCTATTTGCCATAAAATATTAACTAAGATTGTTGAATTCGATCTCCCCTTGGTTTTGTCTTGGGTAGTCAAAGAACTAGGCATTACGAAAACACTAATCAGAGGCAGTTTCGCGCTTGAGCATGCCCTAGTCTAGTGGTTTCCTGTTGAATTAAGACAGGTTCAGACTGTTGGTAAAAATCTGCAAAATCAAAACTTTGAAGTAACTACTACTTACATATGAGATGTAAATTATCCCAAATTATCCCGGTCTGGTTTTCATTTTGATGGTTGTAAGAAGCATGTACAGAAGGTTCAGACTGTTGACAGACTGAACTCTGGAGTATCCTCTCGTACTGAAATTATTGTTTCCTCATCAGATGTAGAACGTGAAATACGAATCCTATCGAAACAGCCAACATGTGAGTGGATTCTTCTGATTCATACAAGGGGATAATGAAATTTCCAGACTGCCCGCCTATTTGCCTTCATATGGATTGAAACAGGCTGCTCACATAATTGCAATCTAGAATATGAATGAAATTGATAAATTTCTGATGTTCAATCTGAGGGCAGTTGTAAGTCAGAAAGTTTCAGGTTAATTCTAGGAGGAGTTTAAAGAGAATTCTTGTATTCTTATGAGATGGAAAGCATGCGTAAAAGATTAAGCCATTCTCAATAATTTAATCTGATGATGGTCATAAGAAGCAAATAAAACAGCTTCAGTCCACAGGCAAAGCTGTAAAATCAATCTAAGCTGTACAATCAAAATACACTGTTTCCTTAATGAGGGGATGAATAAACATGTACTAAGATACTTTGGATAATTTACATTAAAGCTTGCACTCTTTTGGATCCGAATGAGAAACAACATTTCTTAGTTCAGTGTAGCATTGCTCGGCTTTCCACTTAAAGTTGCTTCAGTTGAAAAATCCCTTTACTGATTGAGTATTTGAGTTGTATGGAAACATGCATGCTTTGTTCTTAAGCATTACCTCATTGTTATGGGGCCAGAAAAATTAAAAAATAAAAATAAAAAGGTTTAGCCAGCTTCATCTCTTAATCGACCATTGTTATCAGCACAATCTCACTTGCATTTAGGCATATCCGCATATACTTTACAGCACTAAATAGTGATTGTTATTTTCATTTCTAAGCTACCACTCCATCGGTAGTACTGATTAAAACAGGCGAGGATCTTCTTTCGTCAGTATAATTATTCTAGACCACAAAATAAGTAGCAAATGTCATCTGTCGCTAAGTACTGTAGCCTAACAAGTTTGAAGCACTTCAGCCAAGTTCATTGCGATGTGAAACTTGAATCAAAACAGAAAATTTATTCCAAGTTACAAAAGTTTCTGCTCTGCTAGAAACAAACTGACCCGATCATGATACCGCTTCAGGTTCAAATGAGAAAAAACTTGCATAGAATTCTGCACCAGATTGTGATCTCAGAAACATGGTTATATATCAAAAATTACACCTGAGGCCCTATGATTATCCCAGAGACCAGCTCTATTGTTGCTCTGTTGACATAATTCTTTAATAATAAAAGTCAAGACCATCTTTTGCCGCGCAATTTAGAGATAGACATATCTGCACCTCCAAATCCGTCCATGACGGCCTTTGCCTTGCTGAACTCAGCTCTTGCAGTGAGACTGTTTAAGGACATTAAAATAGGCAATCACCAAATTAGCTGAACCAAGTGATATATTGTAAGTTGATATGAATTAAGACAATTATTAGAACAAAAGCGCAAAGTAATTGTACAGTGAAAAATAATGATTGATAAGTTGACTGCAAAGGATGGAAAAAAGTGGGGAACTTCGACATATTCCAATGAACAAAATGCATTTTGAACAAAACTACAAAAGATAGTGTACATAAATGCCTAATTAAAGATAGTGTACATAAATGCCTAATTTAAGAGGTGACACACAATCTCTACATCCAGAAATAGTTGAAAAGAACATATACCTGCTCCTCAGAACGACACAAGGCATGCCTACACGTTCAGCTCCAAGCACGCCGGATTGGCTTCCAGCAATGAGCACACAATTTTGTACAGACAAACCCGCATATTCTGCTCCTGCTCGCAATGTAGCTACGACATTCTCCAAGCTACAATGCAATCATATTATCTATGAGAACTGTCATTAACTTACTGTAAACTTCAGCACTATATGTTGTCATAGAAAATGTACCAGTATGCATCGTACATGGATACAAACAAAAACATTAATAGTATATGCTGCATAAATATAGGTGGATTTGGGTATTCCATATGTCTGGCTACTGATGTATGATATCTTGCGCACACCAAACTAGTTTAGGCACGGGAATGCAGTAACAACATAAGGCAAATGCTTACCACCCTACAGATTTCACAGTTTCAGTTTTGTAAATTGCACTTAATTTTCTGTTTATGGATTAACATCTGAAAGATTGTGCAAGCATACAAGAGTAAATTATATGTTTGACAAATAGTAGAACACTATCAAGACTTTGGGCACAGTAATCCACAAATTCAAACATTGCTAAGAAAAGATTAACTATATTAGTTGAGAGAGAAAGCAAACCTTTCGGATGGGTTGGTATCTAAATCAACACTCAGCTTTAGAATAGATGCAACCTCATCAGCAACCCTTTGCTTTTCTGCAGAAACTGTGATGATACAATTGATAAACATCAAATACTTCTCCATAAGAATTCAATAGTAGTGTTACAGAATATTAGATTTATGATAAGATCTGGTTTGAATTTTACCAGCTTTTTGTGCCTCCTTAACAAGTTGCTCATCCAAACTGGACGATACTCCCTTGCCAAGTACAAATTGTCCATACAAACTTCTTTCTACTTCTTCCTTCCCAACTATTTTCACTTTTGATATTCGATCATGACCAAGCTTTTCAATGACTGACCTGCACAATAGGAAGAAAATTTGAGTTCACCTTTTGTGTTTATAAAGCACATGCCATATGGCGCAAAAGATTTAAAGCAGAAACAACTTCTTTTTGCCATGGTTAAATGCCACAAAGATTTAAAGCTTAGGAACAACCTCTTTTACCATGGTTATATGTAAGATGCAATATACTGCTTCTTCAATCATGTCCTGTACGATGTACATTACAGATAAAGGCATTCCTATGACAAAATAAAATCAGGTAAAATAATGTGCAGGTTGTTGACACGAGGAAAACACATTTAGGTTAAAGGTGATGATATTTCCATTCATATTATATGCAAATAATAATAATAATAATAATAATAATAATAATAATAATAATAATAATAATAAAGTTGTAAATACTGACTTCCCATCGTTGTATATGCAATTCTCTACTAATAGTGGATTAAATCAATTTTGAGGGTAAATTTCAATCTGAGAAGCATTTACTTTTTATTTACACCTTCAGTAAGGGTTCATGTGGGCCTTACATATGCCTATTTAACTTAACCAATTGCTTCTGTCTTTGCCTGCACATAGGTCCAGGATTAAATTCATCTTAGAGACTATAAATTATGATATCATCTTTTGAAAATAAAAGGTAATCATAACAAGCAAAGGTCACCCAACAAAAAGATATACTATTGTCCAGCATATAGAATTGAAATTTATATACTACTGAATGCAACTTTAACATAATATGGATAACCCAATTAGGGGTACACAGATCTACCGTTAACTATTTCCAATTAATGCAACCAAGAAGCAAGAAGAACCCTTCAACCTGACACGATTGCATACACAATTTAAATCAAGCATGGAAACCAGAAGCATCCACACTAATACCTAGCAATATAATTCCTTTACAGTAAATACCATTCCAAGAGTTAAGTCCAATTGAATTCATGTGGTAAAAAAAATTCATGTGCTAAATCTAAAAAACCATGATGGCCAAGGCGATGAAAAAAAAAGGAAAGCATGGGTCCCTCCTCCCTTTAGTAGTTATTTCTTCTTCTATTTGGCCTGTGTCTAATTGCCTAACTCTACTAAAAAGTAATCATTCTCAAAGCAGGAATATATCACTACTGCTAGGATTGCCAATGTGATGCAATATCGATCAACTGTCAACACAAAGTGGGCCCATCCAAAGGAGCGAGAAATGCCTCTGAAATCAACCAACCAGAGTACCACCCACAGTGAATCTGATCTGCCACCTGGACACCTACTCAACATCAGGGTGAGATTCAGACAACCTGACAGTAGACAGCAGGTCAGAATAAATTTGATAAGGTAGGGCAACCAAATGCGAAGATTTCTCCTTTTCCATTTGTGGATAAATGGGTTAGCTGCATTAGATCATTGGAATGTTGTGTCTATAGTTAAAGACCAAGTTTTGGTATCACAATGTGACACCGGTAGATATTACTTACTATTTAGTGAACCTAAGAAAAACTAATACTAAGCANAACAAAATGAAATAAGAATCAATTTCATCACTTCCATCAGATTATCCAGAATGGCTCCCATGTCTCTCCATTCCTGTGCATTTAACGGGCATTATACAAGCACCTTAACCTGTTTGAAGTACAGAGGTAAAGAATATGGAAAATTATATTACAAGTCCTCCAATAGGTGAGGTGACTATATGTTCCTCTGACCTTTACATATAGTGTAAATTGTCAAGCAGTGTCATGCCAGCTTCAAGCTAGAAGTTTTCCATCAAAACATGAAAGGCCAGAAAGTGCTGGACGATTGCTGGAAAAGTACGAAACAAACCTTGACAACTTGTCCCCATTTCTACTGTAGGATGTCAAGAACACCGTAGGTATTCCCTCCTTAATTGCGTCATCAATAAAACTGCAAAAAAGAAAGACAAGAAAAACGTGTCATATTGATTGAGAAATAGGTTTATGAGACCAAAGCGGCAAAGTTTGTTAATTAAAAATTAAAAAAAAAATTATAAGTCATCTGCCCAGTGCTCATTGTCAAATACTAATCATCATCGAGCACATAGTGAAATAGAGTTACAATGCCAGTCATAAATGTTAGGTATGTTTGTTTCAGTTAAAAATTACAAATTATTAGAATCAGCAAAAACTGATAGCAGTGTAATACTATCAGTTAATCATCACTAGATTGAATAACATAACAGTTCACAATAGTTTTGGACGGAAAAAAAGCAACATTCTCAAATTCTTCAAGTAAGTGGGCCTTAGGATATATTTTTTATGCCGACTAAGTAACGGAAAGTGAAAAAAAATTAGAAAATACTTTCTAAGTGATGGTGAGAACGAAAAAAAGAAAGTACTTGCTAGATTCTTCTTAAGACCATGTTTGGCTTGAGGAAAGTGAAAATAAGAGGTTGAGATGGCAACTGATACAACATGCACATTTTTCATTCTTGATTTGAAAGTTTAAGGGATGAGCCGGAAGTATATTGCTTTTTCCAACATTGTCTCCACTTTCCCCTAACTTTAAACAAAAAATTGAGAAAGCGAAAAGACTCCAATATCATATAGGACAAGGTCGAGTGTCCATAAAAGCTAGAAATTGATTCAACAATAGCTTGCAATTTACCTAAAATTATTGCTTCAATTCATCTTTGCTGGACTGTATATTAAATCCTTAACTCAAACCCTTATCAAATTTAAAACTAATTGACTGAAAATAGAAACTCAAATAAGTTTTAAACTTAGAACTGGGAATATAATTAATATTATATATGGACTCCTAGTTGCATACATACATATACACAATAGTTTTCTCATCTGCCCAAATATAGGGACCTTACAGAAAATAGTCCATTTCATAAAACTGCCAGAGCCTCACACATCCTTTATCATAGATAAACACGTTCTATGACCACTTGCCATTAGCTCATGTTTCAATGAAAGTGAACATTGTGACTCATAAATCAACAATAAAACCATTATCCCAAAATTTTGGGGTCACTGATGTAGGATGCGTAACGGACAATTTCATGAAGGATTGGGACAATCACAAGCTAAATGTGCATATATACATATTATTAATTTCCAGGAAGAAACGGTCATATCTTCCAATCTAGAAAGCAAATTCTGATATATTATATATGTAAATCGTCTATCTTGACGAGATGAAGCTAACCGAATTGTCACATATTTGAAATCTCATCAGTATCACCAGTTATTAGCAGAAATCCGAAAATAATTAATATTTAGTTTATTTTTAGTAATAAAGTTAAGAGTCTATTTAGCTTAGAAAATAAAATCAATTTTGATTTAATTATGATTGATTTGTTTCCTTTATTATAAGGAGTCTTTTAGGTAGTTTTAAATTGTTTCTTTCTTTTAGGAATTTTGTTCTTATTAGGAGTAGGCTTTGTTTTTCTATTTAAGAAGAAGGATTGTAAACATCATGGATCAAATCTTTTTATCAATAAAATTCCTCGTTAATATTTTCTTAGTGGATTCGGAGATCGTTCTTTGTAGATTCAGAGAACAACCTTTGGTGGATTTCGATGTTTTTTTTTTTACTTCTGCGCTACGTTAGTCACCTACACAAATCCTATTCTTTCATTCAGTTTTGCGTAGAGTTATCCCCTCCAATAAGTTAAACACTATCATATCCTTACTTCCAACCAATTCATACTTACCAAGTAATGTTAGTTGGACTAACACTGCACACGCATCTCAACTTCAAGTATGACATCGTCTAAGATGGTTTAGAACTCTATTTTACATGATTGTAACTTGACTTCTTTCATGTGAAAGTACTGAGGTTGAAATGGAAGGATCAATGTTATCGAGGCGCAAGGCGCAATGCGGGACGCAAAGGCCCCTTACGTGCACCATGCGCAAGACGCACAACGATGCGTGCGCTTCATTGAATTGAGGCGCACAACTCAAACTAATATTTTCCAATATAAGACAAAGAAGCAAATAAGCAACATGTTTATAAATTGTCACATAAAAAAACTAAGAAATATAATTTCACCTACTAAATCACGAAAGAGTCTTAATTAGCATGCATAACATAAAGAAGTTCATAAGTTTCCACAAATCACAATGCAAGATAATCTCCAACATAAACAAAAGTCTATGAAACAAAACAAGCAAGTAACAAATAAGAAATATGTATTTTTATTTAAAATATGATATATGTATTTTTAGGTAACAATTAAGTGATTAACAAACATGACTATTCATAATTTTCTAGTTAGCATTCTTAATTGCTATTTGCTAGTTAGCATGAAAAGATGGAGAATGGAGGTAACAATTATATATTTACATATTCATAATGTTCTAGTTAGCATGCTAATTAGAGAAAAAAGTTATAATTAACAAACAAGTATACTAAATTACTAATTGTTGTTTCTTTTTTATAGGTTAAACATAAAAAGATGGAGTATGGATTAGCAACTAGCAAGAAAAAGTCTATTACATGATGTAAATATGTAAATATGTAATATGTAAATTATTTTAAAAAACAGAAGAAAGAGTATTACATGATGCAGGTGTCAAGCGCATACGAAGCGCGCGCAAGGCGCACACGAGGCGCGCCTCATGTGCGTGCAACGCCCCGCCTTTGGTGCGGGTCGCAATTGTCCCAGCCCGCAGCGCCCCGCGCCCGGGGCGCGCCCGGGACGCGCGCCTCGATAACAATGAGAAGGATGCAATTTTGATGCTATAGGTTGATGTGTTACTGGGGTGCTCAAAGTATTCACATCAAGATTCCAAGTGTTAAGAAGTCAAAAGATTAAAATATGTGGTCCCTAGGAAGTAGGACAAGTTTACACTTCATAGTTTACAATCAATACTCCCCTTAAGCCAACAGTTCTAAAAAAATCACATTTTCATCTAAGAAGAAGTACTACATCCTTATTTTTATGCATGATCCAGCAACCAACCTTTCAACTGTGACTATTTTATAGGAATATGATTTACAATAGTTAAGTTCACACTAAGGCACTCACTTCTCAACTCCCGGTCGCAAAGGTAAATTCCTTGATGCTGCAAACTCCTCCAAAGATTTTTTCTGCGAACGAGTTATCAATCAATCAACATTTTAATCTGAAATACATCAATAATCACATGGAAGAAAACTATGCCCAACTCTAATACAACTAAAAATGATAATCTTAGTAGGCAGAAGAAGGCAGTCAAATCACTAAGGGAAAAGCAGGAAATTAAAGCAGAAAATGATAAAATGCAAATGTCAATATGAATTTCTTTCTGTAGATAATATTGCCCGAAGTGCAATAATAAGAAAAATGTACTTCATGACCTAGAATCTATACATCACAAATAATAAATAAACAATGAATAAAAACTTGATAACAAAGTGAAAACACTCACAAAAATATGATGAGGACTCAAAGGTTACTATTGCTTAATTCAAGGTTCTTCTGTTTATCCAATCATTTATATGCATACAGGAGGTAGTCTATTTCCATTTTTAATCCAGTAGTTTGCTTTAGAATCAATTTTGGTTCGAGACTATGTACTAGTACGATGAAATATATTTGCTAATTAGAAGTGTACTTAGTCAAATAATTACCTTTTCCCGCAGGATGCTTTTCATGAATGTTTCTTTCTCATTAGTTGGCAATGAGGAAGGCCAACCAACCTGCACAAAGGCATTCATGTGAAAATAAGCATTAGAAAGATCGCAACTTTCCAAGACATCACATATATATCCTCTTTAAACCAAACAATTAATTATTTCAGAATATAATGCAAAAAAGAATCATCAGCTAACATGATTCTTAAAACTGCCATTGAGTAAGAAATGAGGAAAGATCAATATATGTTATCCTCGAGTAGAATAGTAACAATTATATCTGTCTGCACCTTGTGTGCGGGCATGTAAATGAATGAAACTAATATATAAACCCAATGAGTCTAATCATCCAGTATAGGTTTCTGCAGGAAGACCTACCTGGTTAAAAAATAAGATGATCATCTTTTCTTCATCACCACTAGCCTTTCTGCAAAAAATAATCTGACTCATCCTCGGGTTATTGTAAAAATTTATCTTTCAGGGGATGAACATGTTACCAAGCACTGTTAAGACATTGTGAAGATACCTGTAGGTTCCATAATGTAAAACCCCAAGTTTAGTACTATAGTTTCAAATTAGAACTGATCATCTGCAACATTTCTCGTTAGCTTTAAATACTTCCTCATGCCATATTGGAAAGCATGAGGAAAAAGAGATTTAACATACCTTCTCAGATCTGCATAAATTGGTTCTGTCCAGTTTGCACAATCCAGCCCATGTTTCTGAAACGCTATCATCAAGGAAACACAATTATCAATTGCTAACAATCTAACATACATCAACTTTTATTTATCCACATCAATGTGTTATGATGGTGGTTGTCAAATAAGCACTTCGATCAACATCTAAACTGATGGAATGTGGGACAATAATGTAGATCAAGCAACATTAACCCTCTCCTTTACATGGACTTTAGGGAGAGGTTACTTCAACATTTAACCGAGGCAATCTATGGGACGGGATTATCCTACTCCCTGAAGATCAGTTTGAAACAGTTATTCTAGAGCAATCTGATTACACGTTGTTCAGCAAGTATTACCATCATGGTCGTGGCCACCAAGAACGTGGCGCGAATTCGGACACAGCATTTACTTAAATTTTAGTCCAACTTGCCAAGTTAAATGACTACAAACATGCATGCTGCTCCTATTATCTTTGCTTGTCCTCATAATATCACATACGAACATTGGTTCAATACTTATTATTACTTAAACCTAACTAATTCTAACACAATTCTACGCATTCGAAAATGTTATTTTCGCAATCTTCAGCAAAAATTGATTGTTCAGAACGGTTAACATCGGGGAAAAAACAGTCTAATAGAAAAAAGATGGCAAATTTAGCACTAAATCAAACATACAAGAAATAGCCCGCACCTAAGTTGAAAGCTTGGCGATTTCCTGCACGGTGCACATCAGCGAGAACCCTAAAAAGAGCAGCTTTTTTGTCATCTCAAATACCATTTAAACAAAACAAAACTAAATTGGGGGAGAAGACAAAAATTAGGGTTAGAGAAATACTGACCCCTCAACTTCGAGAAGAATCGCGAGATCTTGAGATGGAATCGATTGATCGACATCGGGCGAAGAGCACGAAGGAGGATAAAGACGCGGCCGAGATTTGGGACTCTTGGATCGAGAACAGGAGAAATTTGGAGAGGAAAGAGAGGAGAAAGGAGGTGATGAGATGGCAGCGGAGGTAATTTGAGGCGGATGAGAGGGCCGAATGGGGATGGAGCGGGAGCCGAAGAGGGAGTAAGAAGCAGTGGCTTCCATTTCCTACTGCAAGAGCGCGTGGAGAAGCAGCGACTGCTCGATCGCGCATTTACGAAGAGGGCCGTGAGAAATGACCTTTATGCCCTCGACTGGGGTCTTGTCATTGGGCGCTAAAGTTGAAAGGCTCGTTCTGATATTTTGTTACCACCGAGTGTTTAGCCCATTGATTGCAAGATAAATGCTCGCAACAACAGCTAGGGGTAAATAAGGGCCCAACTTGAATGGGTAGTGGTTAGAAAAAGCCCATGGGTACTTTGAGTTAAGAAGCTTATTCGGCTATTCCTACGCCCCTACGAAATTTTATTTTGCCATATAACCTCTCGCATAATTTGTCATTTTGCGTAGATGCCCGTAACAATTTTAGCCATACCGTCTAGGGTTTTGCCATATATATTAGACTACTAAATATTGTTTAATTTTGTACCAACCCTCCAAATCTCGGCACAAAATTAGGCCATCAATTCTTTAACCAAGTATAGGTAATTCTAAGCCTCATAAGATGAATTACATTAAGAATGTCGGGATTGTGTCTTTGATTCTTTGTATAACTTCATAAAAATTAGATAGGATTAGAGATTTATCATGATTAGAAGATTGGGTTTTATCATGATTAGGAGCTTGAATCCTATTCTAATTAGGAAGTTAGGTTAGAAATAGGGTTTTGGTTTCCCTATATATGTTCTTCTATTGTTGGAGGAAAAACCAAGCACAAAAGAGAGAGCTAATATTCTTGTAATATAGGTTTAGCAGAGGGCGTAGCCTAATTTAAAAATATAATGCGAGAGGCGAGTGTTTCGTAGTTTTTGTCCGTATAAAAGATTACATCATTGGGAGAGGGTTTTGCAGATTTTGTCCGTTCAAAAGATTGTAAGGAGAGGGCTTTGGAGAGAATATGAGAGTTGATTATGTATGTGAGGTTGAGAGACTGAGAGACGAGAGTTGAGTGGTTCCTTTTGTAATTCTCCCTAATAGATAGTGGATTTCTCGTATTGTTGCCCGTGGATGTAGGTCGAAGTTGGTTAACCGAACCATGTAAATCTCGTGTTCTTTCTTCTTAATTGCAATTATTTTCTATCTTATTGATTGAAGGTTAGCTTCCGAGTTGCGGAGATCGTAGTAGGCGGGGAAACTAAAATTCCCCAACAAGTGGTGCCAGAGCCATGATAATGGATCCGAGAGCGAGTTCGCAAGATAGACATTGTACAAAAGTGAGGATCGACAGCATTATAAGAATCAAGATGAAGAAAAAGAAAAAAAGGAAGGTCGAGTGGTGGCAAGAGCGGGCGACGGCAAGAGCGGTAACATAGGCGGTTTTTTGTTTGTTCGTTCGCATGCAAGAGTCGAAAAACTAGCAGCACGTGAGGAGATTCACGCGTGTGGGAAGAAAATGAAATTTAGCTAGTAAGGTCCACATGAAAGAATTATGAGAAGCAGTTCATGTGATCTGATTGCCTAATTGCGGCCTGCTGATCTGATGTGGAGTTTTATTTGGTGTTTGATGTTGTGAATGCACATCAGATGGTCTAGATAGTTTTGCCGATAGATTGATGAATCAGATGTTGATTTCAGTGATCTAGGAGTTGATTCCGAAGTTTTAGAGTGCTCTGAACGTGATGGGAGGGTTTGATTTTTCAAATTTTGTTCAGATTGGTCAGAAAGTGCTGAAAAGTTCTGATGATGATGATGAGACAGATCTGATGGCAGATAGGGCAAACGAGTATGTGACAGATGAGACTAGCGTAGAGAATCAGATGTGATTCTAGCAATAGAGTTGTCATCATGTAATTATTCAAAATCATAATGGGAGTAGTAGCTGGTTGGTGCGTAGACTCGAGGAGGACATTGCCAGATTAGGTGGAGCTTGCAAGCAGGCACGACTGAGTAACACACATGCTGATGGAGATGGTGACATTGGACTTGAAGACAATGAGCGCTCATATTTGGTCCAAGTCAAGTGATGGAGGAGATGGAGGCATTTGGCTCGTAGTGTAAAGTAGGAGAGGTGCACTGATATGATTCGAGACAAGCGATGCAGGTGGAGTACGAGGACATCAAGTGGGGGAAGGCTACTATCAAGTTCAGTTTGAGAGGAGAAGCATGGTTGATTTAATTACTTCTAATGTTAGAGGTGGCGAAAATCTCGTGGTGTGCACAAGAGAGTTGGAGGCATCATAGCGAGACAGATAAAAGTGAGGGTCATAGGGGCATCCAGTTGGAGTGCATGTGCTTCAATTTAAAGTGCGAAAGAAATAGAAGACTCTAACGAGAGAGGTAAAGTTTCAAGACGATGATGATATATCTTAAAGGGAGTTTGGGAATCAAATCCAAGATGAAGATTATTGGGATTGTGTCTTTGATTCTTTGTATAACTTCATAAAAATTAGATATGATTAGAGATTTATCATGATTAGAAGATTGGGTCACATCATGCCTATTCTAATTAGAAAGTTAGGCTAGAGATAAGATTTTGGTTTCCCTATATATGTTCTTCTATTGTTGGAGGAAAAACCAAGCAGAAGAGAAAGAGCTAATACTCTTGTAATCTAGGGGTTAGCAGAGGACGTAACCTGATTCAAGAATATTGTGCGAAAGTCGAGAGTTTTGTAGTCTTTGTCCGTGTAAAAGATTACATCATTGGGAGAGGGTTTCGTAGTTTTTGTCCGTTCAAAAGATTGTAAGGAGAGGGCTTTGGAGACAATAAGAGAGTTGATTATCTATGTGAAGTTGAGAGATTGAGAGACAAGAGTTGAGTGGTTCCTCTTGTAAATCTCTCTGATACATAGTGGATTTCTCGTATTGTTGCCCGTGAATGTAGGTCGAAGTTGGTCAATAGATGTGGGTTAGCTTCCGAGTTGCGGAGATCGTAGTAGACGGGGAGACTAAAATTCCCCAACAAATACCCCCTTGAACTAAGAGAAAGACTTCATGTTTGAGAAAGAAAAGAGATTGAAGGAGAAAGAGGAGAGAGAAAAAACGGGTATGTGGATTATAAGTGGGAAAGAGAGATGTTTGGGGAAGAAGAGTACACAACCATTATAGAATGGGCTATACTATTGATAGCACCCTTGTTATATCGGTCCACACAAAAAACTTTGTAAGGGTAACAAAAACTTTTAGAAACTATAGACACGATTAAGAAATTTTGGCTCAAAGAAGTTGGTGACTCAATTGACAAAAACCCTATCTTTTAACATCTCATCTACCATTTCACGGTAATGGGAAAAATAAAAGATTGGAGTCTTTATGATTTGAAAGGAGAGTGCAAATTTGATAAAACGGAAAAAGCAAACTAAAAGATGAATATGAAATGCTTAACTAAAATGGTGGTGTAGGATTATCATTAGAAGTTACATTGTTGAAAAAATAACTATAAACATTAAAAAAAAGATAGTATCACAATTAAATAATCATAGTACCCACTGTGAGTGATCCTCATGGTAAGAGGTTCTAATATGACTCTCACGTTCTTGGGTCCGATTTCATATGGACTATAAAATAAATTTAATAATCTTAACGTTCAATTTCTTCATTTAGCTGTAGATTTTGTCCTTTTCCTCTTCAAACTTGACATTCTTCAATAACTTAAAACAAATAAGTATACAAAAACAAATAATATTAACTCACTGACAGATTCTAAAAGCACTCATGTAATTACAAGGGCCGGCTGAAGGCATAGGCTACTAAGGCATATGCCTAGGGCTCCCATTTTATTGGGGCCTCCCAAAATATATTCTCTATAATATATCCAAAAATATATTCTCTATAATATATGTATATATAATAAAATAAAATTATTAATTTATTTTGGAAATATAAGAAGTTGATTATTGTTAGGATTCTAAATTATCTTTAATTGATCATTTATTGCTATAATTATCCATAATTATCTTAATATTTGGAAAAGAACACTAATAAAGTTTAATTGTAACTTTTTATATTTTATTTCTATAATTAATTAGATTGTAACGGTAAAAAAAAGAAAAACTAATATAATTTGGCAATGTCTCAAGAAAGATTAAATGATTTGGCAATTTTATCAATTGAAAAGGATTTATTATCAAAGCTTGAATATAAAAATTTAATTAGTAACTTTGCATCTCAAAAAGCAAGAAAGTTAAATCTTATATAAAATATATTTTTTAAAAACTAATGTTTAATTTTTAAAAAAACTGTTAAGGTCCTAAATAATTTTCTCTACCTAGAGCCTAAAAAATGCTTGAGACGGCTCTGATTACAATCTACTTCAAGGTTCACGGTTCACCAGTATAATTGCACCATACTTTAGGGTATCAAAATGCAATTAATCCTATCACGGAAGATTAAACTATCATACAAGTAAAACTACTAGAGGAATCAAGCTACCAAAGGACGAATGACCAACACTACACACTAAATAACAAAGTTTGACTTAGCACGTGCACTGTACCATTCTTCTAATTCTAAAACACAAATCAATTAATCTGCGTACTTCAGCTTCAAACTTGCCATCCAAAATCCTAGTCAACGTTAACACATCTTACTATCGCTTAACTGAGAAATAAATAAGAACTCAATAGCAAACAAGTGTAGTTCAATGGCTGACGAAACAAAACTTTGCTGTAAAATTGATATAAATATTAATTAATAAGATTACACCAACTTCCGCATTTGAATAATCGCCGCCATTATACCTCTCCCAAGAGTCCGCAGTCAATTCTGCTGTCTCAATAGATTCTCACAAGACTTTGAAAAAAAGTTAGAGCTCAACCTCAGCAGATAACATATTTTTCGTAGATGGAGACGTGCATGCTTCTATTTCTCAACTTGCTCAACATCAAGCTGTATTTTTCAAATTTTATTTTGAGAAAGTAACTGTAAACTTATAGTTTCTCATGGACCGATTAATTGGATAGTATAAATTTTGACTGATTATTTCCATGCCTTAATTTGCTTCCTTTGGTCATTGTCTTGTGTTACAAAACTAAGAATAGGTGTCAATATTTTCATTGACTGACCAGAAACTATCTTCAACACCTTTGACCAAGAGCATATTTAATTAGAAAAATATATACATTGCCACA